AAGGGGCCTAAAGTGGCCAACACAGAATAGCTGGGAGGAGCATTATCACGGAGGGGCCCCTAGATGTGGGACGAACAGGCAAACAAGGCAGAGGCAGGGAGGAGCCAGCAAGGTGGCCCTGCTAAATGGCCAAGAGACAGAGGGCATCGTGGGCCAGAGTGGGGGAGTCTGATGGGAGAGCTGGTCTAGGGAGGTTAGTTTAGGAAGGTTAAGTGGGAAGAGATGGGGTGGCTCAGTGGGAGGATTCCACAGAAAGCCTCCGGAGTCAGATCCAGGCTCTAGAGAGAAGACCAGGCTGGAGGGCCAGTACGGCTGGGAAGAAAGGAAAGCCACAGGCTAAGGACTTTGCTCTGTGAGCTAGGTCAAAGGCAGCAGGAAGCTGGCCCAGTGACCAGACTGGGGAGATAGAGCTGGAAGGCACTAGGGGGTGGGAGACAGTCACGCCACTGAGGCAGGAGGGCTCCCTGTAGAGGAGGGTGGCAGGCATGGTGGAGAGGCGTAGGACCCAGGACGGCAAGATTTGTTGATCAGAGACTGCTGTAGAACATGACAGATTCCTTGTGGACGAAGGGTAGATGCCGAAGGCAGGTGTCAGGGTGTTTGCTAGGGAGTCATGGTGAGAAAACAAAGGTGACAAACACAGACTCCTCTTTGAAGACAGTTTGTCAAGAAGGTAAAGAACCCAGGTGGGAATAAGGTAGTAGACCCATTGAGGAGGGATTTAACATGGACACAAGGTGAGTGGGAAAAACTACTACTGAGAAGGAGGAAGTGGAGATGTCAGGAAGATGGGGTAATTGAGGAGGGAAGAGGATGTGGTAGATAAAATAATAAAAATAACAGTTAATGCTTGGCAAGCACTTCCTTTGTGCCAGGCACTGTTCTGAGTACATTCCTTATTTTTATTTCTTTAGTGTTACTGTCCCATTTTACAGATGAAGAAACTGAGGCCCGAGATCACAGGGCTGGTGAGAATAACATGTCGTATGTCTCCAGAGCTAACAGTTAACTACTATAGTGTGCCACACAAGGAGAGAGCAGCAGTAGAGAGGGGTGCCACTTCCTCTGATGGAGGATGAAAAAGAAAGGTTGCCAGTCTGGGCAACATAGTAAGACCCTGTCTCTACAAAAAATAAAAATAAAAAAATTAGCTAGGTATGGTGGCATGTGCCTGTAGTCCTAGCTACTTGGGAGGCTGAGGTGGGAGGATTGCTTGAGCCCAAGAGTTTGAGGCTGCAGTGGGCTATGGTTGTGCCACTGCACTCCAGCCTGGGCAACAGAGCGAGACCCTGTGTCTAAAAAAGAAATAAGATAAAAGGAAAGGCTGAACTAAACTCAAATTTCTAAAGGCAATGCCCTATCCTGCTGGGCTGGAGGAAATCCAACTGTAACCTTTACTGGAGTTCTTCCTTGGAACCTTAGAAAACTTCTGCATCTTATGGACCCCACAATCTGGAGAAAGCCCCCGTGCGTATGAGTCTGTATTGAAACCACTGAGATGCTGTGCCAGTTAAGAATGTGTGGGCCATACATACAAGAAACCTGCCTGATAGCGGCTTAAGCTAAAAAAGTGATTTAGTTATTTCACATAGCAAGAGGTCTAGAGGCAGGCAGTACTCAGAGTGGTTTCATAGTTCCCTGATGTATCCAAGCATTTAGGATCTTTCTATCCTTGCATTCCATTGTCCTCAGTGTGTGGGCCTTTTACCCTAGGCTTGCTATCTCATGGTCACACCATGGCTGCCAGAGCTGCAGAGCTCACAAAACTATCTTCAGGGCAGGTAGCAGGTACAGACCACCTGTATCTCCTTCCCAGACTTCTCCCAAGTTCTCTTGGGCAGGACTGAGTCCTAAATCGATCCCTAGCAAAGGGAAGATCAGCACACTTGGTTTAGGGCTTTCATGGGTCACCCTCTGGAGGTGGAGGAAAGGCCCACCTTTCCGAGCAAGCTGTATCTAGAATAAAATGTGGGTTCTTTAAGGAACATGGGAGAATGGCTGTTGGGTAGGTAACCAACACTTCTGTCTCAGAAGACCACTGACCCAGTCCACGGGACTCTTTGGGGTCCATGGTCTGCTGCCCCAGGCCACACTCCGGAGACAGAAATTTCAGCCAAAACCAGGAGCCCTGGGCTTAGGGTCCAGCCTCCCTGGGCACACCCAGCAGCTCCTTCCTGGGCTTTGTCAGGGTGTTGTGGGGAGCTGGCACCATCCCAAATGCATATGGGTACTCATGGGCTTCTTTCTACCTCCTTCTGGTCAGGAGAAACCTCCTATCTAAGCCACAGTGCTTCTCAACCACACTTCCCTTCCTCATCCCCTACCTCGTCCCATCCCGGGGTCCTGGCCAAATATTCTCAATAGTGAGACCTTTGGGAACACAGAGAGGAATGTCTTATGGCAGCTCCTTCTCTTGGCCAGTTAACACAAACCTGTCCCAAGGCGTGGCTACCTTTGTGCCTATGGTGGCCGGGGGCTCGGGGCAGTAACACAGGGAGCAAAAAACACACATTCATCTCCATCGTGCCCACACCACAATGGCAGCAGGAAGAATGGTGCAGTGGTAAATTGGAGACCTGAGCCCTGGCCCTACTCTGGGCTTAAATGTCTTCATCAGCAAAATTGCTTAGAGGGACCACGGCGGGGCAGGAGTGGAAGAGTTCCACCCATTCTGCAAACTAGATACAGAGGCCTCCACCAATTCCCTAACACAGGGGTCCCCAACCCCCAGGCAGGGGCTGATACCTGTCTGTGGCCCGTTAGGGACGAGCTGCACAGCAGGAGGTGAGCTGCAGGTGAGCATTACAGCCTGAGCTGTGCCTTCTGCCAGATCAGTGGTGGCACAAGATTCTCATAGGAGCACAAACCCTATTGTGAACTGCGCATGCGAGGGATCCAGGTTGCACGCTCCTTATGAGAATCTAATGCCTGATGATCTGAAGTGCAACAGTTTCACCCAAAACCATTCCCCACCACCTTCCATCCTTGGAAAAATTGTCTTCCATGAAACCAGTCCCTGGAGCTGAAAAGGTTGGGGACTGCTACCCTAGCAAAATGCCCCAGTCATGTCCATTTCTACCTGGATGGTGAGGTTGGGTGGTCCAGAGGAGTGGGCCCTGATGAGTGTGTGGGTGTCCAGGTGCAGTGCTGGAAGTTTCCAACCTGGCTCCGTGATCATAGAGAGTGGAGCTGAGGGGTTTGTTAGGAATTCACAGAGGATACCTAAAGCCTCATTTCAGTAGCCAGAACAGCCTCATTCCAGTAGCTCATAACTGGGGTCCATGAACTATAGAATTCAGGGGTCTGTGCACTTGGATTGGAATAGAATACAGCTTTATTTTGAGTCGTTTCTATTTCCTGGGTTATGAACAAAGGGAGCAAAGTGCAGTTGTATCAGCAGCGCCAATAGAAACCACAGAGTTTTTCATATCCCTTTACAGTTTGCCACAGGTATCTTAGAATATTGTTTACACTCATCTCTACTTCAATTTACCATTGTTTAATAGGCCCACCCCTAGATCTTGTTATTCAATATGTTAATAAAGAAACCTATGCACATAGTACCATGTTACACATTTTAAAAATATTTTGACAACTGTATATAAATATAACTAGCTTACTTTGCAATCCTACATATTTTATGTGTACGAAAATATTATTCTGAAATTAGCCAGGCATAGTGGTACATGCCTATAGTCCCAGCTACTTGGGAGGCTGAGGTGGGAGGATCACCTGAACCCAGGGAGGTCGAGGCTGCAGTGAGCCGTGATTGCACCACTGCACTCCAGCCTGGGCAATGGAGTGAGACCCCGTCTCAAAATAAAATAAAATATGATTTTAAGAAGCGATCGAGGGCACAAAAAATGGCCAAAAGCCCCTGACTGAGTGTCATCCACCCAGAGTGAGGGCCGCTGTCCAGCTGCCGGGACCCTGCAGGAGGAACCAAAGCAGGAGAATCCCTGGCATCACCCTTGCTCCAGGATATACCCCTGGGTGCTCAACAAAGAAGTGAGGACAACTTGCCACCATCTTCAGTTTGATGGAATGGCCTTAGGCCTCTGCTGCCCATTGTGAAGTCACCGGCCTCTTACCTAAAAGCTCAGGAGGATTTAGGGAGAATGCAGATAGAGCACCTGAGTTCACTGTGTCATGAAAGAAGGGAAGCCTCCCAGCATTAGATCTTAGGGAATTGTTTCAACCAAATTTAAGGATGCAAAAGCCAAGAGTTGGGAGGAGAGGCAGGGAGAGATTCCTCCCTCCTCACCTGTGGCTGCAGCACTGCTTGGGGGCATGGAAAAACAGTTTTCCACACCCTAGCAGACAGCAAAAGCTATTTCAATGTGCCAAGTGAAAGTTGAGCCATGCCCTCATCCAAACTAGCCTCCAGCCTCATGCAGGCAGCTTGGGGCACCTGTGCACACTGGGCTCGCCCTTACGGAGCTGTTCCTCCATCAGGCAGCTCTGGGTACCGGTGTATACTGGGCTTGCCCTTACGGGGGCTGTTCCTCCATTTCTGTCTCCCCTTGTGCTGCCCCTCACTGGGAGCAGCACCACCCCAATCCACGCCAGGCAAGCCCTGCCCTGGGACACCGCTGCTCTCTGTTCTCATGGATGACTCAGGCCCCAGCAAAGATACTCTTTGTTCCTCAAAAGAGGGAATGGAGGGCACACTTGCTGTTAGGAAATGCCCCCCACCTTGCAGTCTGGCTTCCTGATCTCTCTGTTAAGATCTTTTAAGCCACCCCATCAGCCACAGAACGAAGCCCATCCACCAAGAGTACCTGAGCCCAAATCTCCCCCTCTCCCACCCCGCCAGCTCCTCTGCCCGCAGACAGCAGGAGAATGGACTTGTTTCCTATCACACAGGCCATATGCCCATTGGGCAAGACCCAAACCCATGGAGCCCCCACCCCCTCCACCCCCCACCCCCTCCATCCCCCCACCTTGCGCTGCTGAGCACCTCCACCGCCTTTTGAAGAAACGTCACAGGTTTGAGAAAATTCTGTGGGAGGGGGCTGAGGTTTAATTCTGGAGTGGGGACAGCCTAGGAGGACACCAAGGGATGATGGGGAGGGGCGCGGTCTGGGGGTCTGAGAGAATATTCTCAAAGGTACAGCCCAGGGCCGCCCACTTCTGCTTCCTGCTGTGCTCTCTGCCACCTTCCATATGACATTGGCCTGGTCGGGGCAAAGAAGTGACCGACAGGCCCCTGGGGACATCATTCAGTCATTGTTCATTCACGCACAGATATTTGCTCACAGTGGGCAACGGGAAGGGGAGGCCAAACCGCACACTGTAAATACTGCCCACAGAGGGGGCCTGCAGCCCAGGGGGGATGATGGAGAACAGCTGCCTGGAGGGAGGCCTAAGGCAAAGCCTTGAAGGCCAAGGAGAATGGAGAGGAGAATGGAGGGCCTTCCACCCACAGGCACTAAAAGAAGGACAAGCCTACTTGGGGAGAGGCAGTATCGGGACCTGTGCACTGGGCTGCACTGGGCAGAAAAAGGCTATGAGTGTCATGCTGTTGGGAGAAAATGGGTCCTGTGGTTAAGTAAATTTGGGAAGTTCTGGATTAAATGAGTTGAACAGTTCTGTGTACTGCAGCACTTGTCAGGACTTTTAACCTGTGAATGATGCAGAACGAACCTTATGGTGGATCCCAGGACTGGTGTCTCACACTGACATAAGGACCAGGGGAGGCAGTGGGAGCTGATGAGATTCAAAACACAAGAGGTTTTGAATGCCAGGCCAAGAAGGCTGGACTTTTTCCTTGGGGCAGTGAGGACTCTCAGAAGGAGACTTAGAGGGATCTAGACTCAGGGAACCTGGGGCAGTTTAGTAACCAGCGAAGCCAGGGCTGTGGCAAGACTAGCCAGTCCCAGTCAAGGACTCCCCAACTCCTTGACAGCAGGGCCTTTCTGTGGGAGAGAAAACAGAGACCATGGACACAGTCAGCAGTAAGGGTCTCAGAGAGACTGGCGAGAAGACAGAAGGCTGGGCAACCCTGAATCCAAGCTGGGCGCAGTGGTCAAGCCTACTTGGGTTCCAATCCTGACTCCACCACTTCCCAGCTGTGGGTATCTGACCTAATATCTCTGTGGCCTCAGGGTATTTGTTTTTTGTGTTTTGAGATGGGGTCTCACTCTGTCACCCAGGCTGGAGTGCAGTGGTGCAATCTCAGCTCACTGCAACCTCCACCTCCCAGGTTCAAGCAATTCTGCCTCAGCCTCCTGAGTAGCTGGGATTACAGGCATGCACCACCACACCCAGCTAATTTTTGTATTTTTAGTAGAGATGGGGTTTCACCATGTTGGCCAGGCTGGTCTTGAACTCATGACCTCAAGTGATCCGCCCACCTCAGCCTCCCAAAGTGCTGGGAGTACAGGCGTGAGCTACTGCACCTGGCCCTGTTGTTTATTTTTTAGAGCAGTTTTAGGTTGGCAGAAAGTACAGAGGTTCCCATGTACTTCCCACCTCTCTCTCCAGTTTTCCTGATGAGTAACATCTTGCATTAGTGTGGCACAATTGTTACAATTTATGAACCAATACTGATACATTATTATTAACTGAAGTCCATAGTTTACTTGAGGGTTCACTCTGTGTTATCCAGTCCTACAGATTGTAACAAATGCACAATATGTATCCACCATTACAGTATCATACAGAAGAGTTTCAAGGCCTTAAAAATGCTGTCTGGGCCTGCAGGGTGGCTCATGCCTATAATCCCAGCACTTTGGGAGGCCAAAATGGGAGGATCACTTGAATCCAGAAGTTCAAGACCAGCCTGGGCAACATAGAGAAACCCTGCCTATACAAAAAAGAAAAAAATGTTTTAATTAGCCACCTGTAGTCCTGGTGCACCTGGGTGGCATATACCTGTAGTCCCAGCTACTTAGGAGGCTGAGGTGGGAGGATGGCTTGAGCCCAAGAGGTTGAGGTTGCAGTAAGCTGTAATTGTGCCACTGCACTCCAGCCTGGGTGACAGAGCCAGACCCTGTCTCAAACAAGCAAACAAACAAAAAGTTGTCCGAGCCTCAGTTTTAACACCTGTAAGATGAGTGTGAAGCTCCATCTGAAGCCCCCCAGTCTTCTGCTGTAGGTTGATTTAGGCCTCCCAACAAATCAAGTATGACTGAAATCCACTAAATGTCTGATATCCATCAGAATCACTAGGCTTGGGTCAGGGCGAGAGGTCCTCATTCAAATGCACATTCTAAGGTCTCAACTCCAGACCTGCTGAGTCACAAGCCCTGGGATGGGGCCCAGGAATCTGCATTTTAACAATTCCCCTGGTGCACAAGGAAATTTGAGACCCACTGTGCCCCTGATAGCTTGTGCACATGGAAATTCGTTTCTCAGATAAAAACAGAGGTTCTAGCCACTGTCAGGTCAAAGCTCTGGAGAGCTGTGCCATCTCCCAAAGGGAGCAGAAAGGTTTGCCATCAAGCCAGGCAAGAGCCCATTTCTGCCTGTGCAGCTCGCAGTCTCCAAGCCTGCTGTTGTTTCATATCTTGATTGCTTATCACTCACCCAAAATAACCTGAATGCAATCGCACCAGCTGCAGCTCTCTCCGCAACTCCCTTAATTTAGCAGCCAAACACATTTGGTTCCTTCACAGAGCACAAGGCCTCAGCACAGGGCCCAGGAAGGGGCCCCTCCCTCCCAGCTATCTGTAGTGAGTTGAATCATTTCCCCTTGGAATTCATGTTCACCTGGAACCTAAGCATATGACTTTATTTGGAAATAGAGTATTTGCAGGTGTAATTAATAAGGATCAAGATCAGCTCATACAGGATTAGGGTGGGCCCTAAATCCAATGACTGTTATTAAAAGAGGAGAGAACAGAAGAGACAGAGACTGGAGTGATGCAGCAATAAGCTGGGGAATGCCACGGACTGCCCACTGCCACCACGAGCTAAAAAGAGCCAAGGAAGGATTCTTACCCAGAGCCTTCAAAGGGACCACAGCCCTGCCAACACCTCCATCCCAGATTTCCAGCCTCCAGAACTGTGAGGGAATCAAATTCTGCTGTTTCAAGCTACTCAATTTGTGGTAATTTGTTAGAGCATCCCTAGGAAACCAATGCAGCATCACTGCCATAGGCCCCTGGCCTGGCTCAGCACCCTCTCAGCCCCACTCCAGTGGGAAGGAAAGGTCCCCACCTGCAGGCACTTCTCCAGATGGGCAGTTTAACATGGCCCGTTAGGATCAGAGCTAGTTTCTCCCAACCAACATCTTTGAACTCTGCATCTACTAGGCCCATTTCCCACATAAGGAGAAGGATCCTTCTGTCCTCTGCTTGAAAGGCTGTATTCCAAGAAGGGCTGAGTTTGGTAGTGACAAATAAATACTGGTCCTTGGGCAGTGTCTGGCCAGCGGTGCCATGTGAGATGGGTCCCTACAGTTTCATGCCACTCCGGCGCCGCGAGTCCTTCCGGGCAATGGGGCTGAAGTTCACAATCTCCTTGTAGATGTGCTCTGAGAAAGGCAGCATGGTTTAAGGTGGGTAAGGAGGTGCTGAGGCGAGAAAGTCCACCTCCCTTCAGAGAGAGCATGGAGAGCGAAGTCAGCTCAAGGAGAAAGAAGCACCTAGGAGACAATGCCCACCAAGAAGGAGGGGGCAGGAGTTTTAGGTGGCAGGTAGGGCTGGCAGAGGCCAGGCACAAAGATGGAGGAAGCAAGGAAGAGAGGCTGCAGGTGGAGGCGAGGAAGCCCGAGGCCCCAGCTCTTACGCTTCCATTCATCCACTGTGAGTTTCTCATGTTCTAAGGAATCATCAAATGGCTGTTGGGCCTCCGTCTCTTCCTCAGGGTCCCGGAAGGGTTCAAAGAAGGGATGGGTGAGGGCCTGCGCGGCTGTCAGGCGCTTGTCCACATCTAACTCCAGCATCTTCTCCAGCAGGTCCACGGCTGCAGGGGCAGAGCCATGAGCCTCACACCGGGGCGGGAGAGCCCACCCTTGGGGATGCACTGAGAGGCCCCTGGGGAGCGGGCTATGAGACTCACCCTGGGGGCTGGCCCGCGGGAAGAGCTGAGTGAAATCCTTCTTGGGGGTCTGTGGCAGGGACTGGATGTAGGATTTGGCCTGGAAGACAGAAAAGCATCAAACCCCTTAGGGCTCTGGCCTCAGCATGTAGAGCAGGGATTTCAGAAAAGCCTCAGAGCAGGGCTGAAGGCTCAGGTCCAGGTCCACGGTGAGATGAAGACAAGAGCGCTTGCCAGGGTAGGAGGATGCTGCAGGAAGGTGCGGGTGAGCCTCCAGCCCACTGGGCCCAGTCAGTCAAGCACACTCCCAGGCCAGGCTAGGTCCCATTTACCACCCACCGCTTTGTCGTTCAGCTTCTGCACAAACTCCGTGCCTGGCACCCCGGTCACTTTCAGGATCTGGGTCAGCTGGTCCAGGTCTTGGTGGCAGGTTAAGGCTTAGCCTTGCTCTCTTGGTAGGTCTGAGACTGCCCTTCCCACGACCCCACCATCACTTCACCTGGGCACCGTAGCAACTGATTGTCCAGGCTCCAGCCCTGCCTAACCACCTCCTGCTCTCAGGAGAGGCTCATTCTTCAGGGCTCAGGGCTCTGGAGAGCTTTCCAACATGCCAGGCTGAGGGGGTTCTCTACCAGACAAATACATGTGGTCTTCTCAGCCTTCATCCCAGTCACTCTTTTCTGTTTCCTCATCTTCTCACCAAAGGCCTGTCCTGCACACACAGCCACTCAGTTAATGTGTGCGGTGCCAAAATGTATTTTCCACATGGTGGTAGAATTATAGGTGACCCATTTTTCATCATTTTGCTTATCTATCTATCTATCTATCTATCTATCTATCTATCTATATATATATATTTTTTTGAGACAGGGTCTACTCTGTCACCCAGGCTGGAGTGTAGTGGCATAATGTGGGCTCACTGCAACCTCCACTTCCTGGATTCAAGCAATTCTCCTGCCTCGGCCTCCCGAGTAGCTGGGATTTGACCACGTTGGCCAGGCTGGTCTTGAACTCCTAACCTCAGATGATCTGCCTGCCTTGGCCTCCCAAAGTGCTGAGATTACAGGCGTGAGCCACCGCACCCGGCCCATGTCTGGCTAATTTAAAAAAATTTTTTAGAGATGGGGTCTCACCCTATTGCCACCTCTGGTCTCAAACTCCTGGGCTCAAATGATCCTCCCACCTTGGCCTCCCAAAGTGCTGGGATTACAGGCGTGAACCACCGCATCCAGCCTTATCTGCATTTACAAATTATTTTACAGGGAGTATACATCACTCTCACATTAAGAAAAAAAAGACAGTTGTTTAAAGTGTCTGTTGAAGGAAGGAATCCCTAGATGGAATTTGGCTTTTCCAGCAAAGGATACAATCTTTCCCCTTGAACAGAGTTTTCCCTGTCAGCATCTCTGCCATGATGCAGCCCACAGACCAGATGTCCACTGCAGAGGAGGGCGAGTGTCACCTGGACTGTCTGACTGGGGTCGGCAGTCAATCAGCACCGAGTGACCAGATGGCCCCAGGACTGCCCTCTCAGGCGCTGACCACTGACCTGTCTGGTTGTAGTGCATCCAGCTGAGGATCACCTCGGGGGCCCGGTACCAGCGGGTCACCACGTAGCCAGTCATCTCGGCATCTGCATGCCGCGCCAGCCCAAAATCCAGGATCTATGGCTCGGGATAAATGGAAAACGAACTTGCTGAGAGGAAGAGGCTCTGGGAGCGGCTTCCAGGGGCTTCCCTGGGGGAGGGCCCATCCCGCCTCTGGGCTGAGCCTGCAGCCCACTCACCTTCAGTTCACAGTCCTCGTTCACAGCTAGGTTGCCTGGCTTCAGGTCCTGGGGAGAGGACAGGGAGTGCATGCTAGGCTGAGGCAGAGATGGAGCTTGTCCTAGCTCCACCACTACCCAGGGATGTGACCTCAGCCAGGCCCCTTCCCCTTCTGGGCCTCAGTTTCCTCATGTGTAAAATGAGGGTTGGACTAGGTGTTCTCTCGGGGCCCATCCAGCTCTAAAATGTTCCTGATTCTTGGAGCCTGAAACACTCAGCTCAGGGCTCACTTTGTCCGCAGCAATTCCCCATGAAGTCCCCCGGGACACAGCGACTCTTTGGAGCAGGCCTTCCTGGGCCGTGGCTGGGTCTGAAAACTCCACATTCTGGGCTTCTGGGAAGTGTCCTCTCCCTCCACCTTTCCCACTCCTTGATTACCAAAGAACCCCACACCCAGGGATGGGACAGGGGCCTCTGAGGACCATGGCAGAGAAAGCACTCACCCTGTGCACGACCCCAGCCGAGTGGATGTACTGTGTGGGAGAGAGAGAAGGGTGAGTCCATGGCCCAGTTTCCACACCAGGCACTTCAGGCTGGCTCAGAAACTTCCTCCGACCTGTAACAGTGTGGTCCCTCCAGCCTCCCCCAAACCTCAGGTCTCGAAAGCAAGGCATCCCTTCTGCCACCCTCCAACTCCCCACCCACCTTAAGGCCTTTGAGCATCTGATACACCAGGTACTGGATCTTCTCCTCACTGAACTCCATCCCCATGATCTTCTGCAGATCCGTCTGCATGAAGGGCATCACCAGGTAGCTGGAAGGCATGAGGGCTTCTTGGGACAGTGCTGGGTCCCACCCAGCCCCAGGTCTGTGCTCAGAGGAGGGGCCTCAGGGCAGAACAGGGGTCATAGAGATACCCTCCAGTGTGCAAAAACCAACCCCACCTCAGCCAGCCAGATCACCACACAGGCCTCTGGGCTCCTGGCTCCCAGCCTTCCTGTGGCAGGCCGCCCAACTGGCAGAGCTCAGAGTAAGCGCTGCAGTCGGAGCGTGCTCAGGAAAGCCACATGAAACTGTGTTCCCGCTCTTCAAAGGTACTCTCTCCTTGCCCTCCTCCACACCCCAGGGAAAGCCACAGCTAGGAGTTAGAAACATCTGCCAGTATTTCCTTTGGCTTCTGTCCAAATATTTTATCCCTCAGAGGGTCATGCCCAGCTGGGATGGCTCCACAAACAAATAATATGTCCACCTTTCCAAGAAGGAAACAATACAACAGTTTCCAGGAGGGTGGAAGGGGGACATGGGGAGGCTACTGCAGCCTCTTAGGGAATTGCACAACAGGATCAGGCCAGCAAAATGTAACTGTTGTAGCAACAGCAAAGTCCAGGACAAAGACAAAAAATAATAAATTATAAAATAGGCCAGGGGGCATAGCTCATACCTCCAATCCCAGTGCTTTGGGAGACGGAGGCTGGACAATCGCTTGAGGCGAAGAGTTTGAGACCAGCCTGAGCAACATAGGGACCCCATCTTTTCTTTCTTTCCCTCCCTTCCTCCCTTCCTCCCTTCCTCCCTCCCTTCCTCCCTTCCTTCCTTCCTTCCTTCCTTCCTTCCTTCCTTCCTTCCTTCCCACAATCGCTTGAGGCTAAGAGCGTTTGAGACCAGCCTGAGCAACATAGGACCCCATCTTTCTTTTCTTCCCTCCCTTCCTCCCTTCCTCCCTCCCTCCCTCCCTCTCCCTTCCTTCCTTCCTTCCTTCCTTCCTTCCTTCCTTCCTTCCTTCCCATCTTTTCTTTCTTCTCCTCTTCCTTCCTACCTTCCTACCTTCCTACCTACCTACCTTCCTTCCTTCCTTCCTTCCTTCCTTCCTTCCTTCCTTCCTTCCTTCCTTCCTTCCTTCCTTCTCCCTCCCTCCCTCGCTCCCCCCCTCTCTCTTTCTTTCTGTTGGAGTCTTGCTCTGTCGCCCAGGCTAGAGTGCAGTGGTGCAATCTTGGCTCACTGCAACCTCCGCCTCCCAGGTTCAAGCGATTCTCCTGCCTCAGCCTCCCTGAGTAGCTACAACTACAGGTGCGCGCCAGAATGCCCAGCTAATTTTTGTATTCTTAGTAGAGACGAGGTTTTGTCATGTTGGCCAGGCTGGTCTCAAACTCCTGACCTCAGGTGATCTGCCTGCCTTGGCTTCCCAAAGTGCTGGGATTACAGGCGTGAGCCACCGCACCTGGCCTGGACTCCATCTTTCAGGAAAAAAAAAAAAAAAAAAAAAGCCAGGTGTGGTGGCATGCACCTTTAGTCTCAGCTACTCAAGAGGCTGAGGTGGGAGGATCACTTGAGGTCAGGATTTCGAGATCAGGATGAGTAACATAGTGAGACACCATCTCTATAAAAATTTAAAAACAAAACAAAAAGCTGGACATGGTGGCATGCATCTGTAGTCCCACCTACTTGGGGGTCTGAGGCGGGAGGATGGCTTGGGCCTACGGGTTGAACTGTGTTTGTGCTACTGCACTCCAGTCTGGGCAACACAGCCCTATCTCTAGAATATAATTTTAAAAAATTTTTAAATAAATATTACCTTAAAAATTATAATATATATATATATATTTGAAAGGACATGCTGGAGGCATCTCCAGGAGACTCTGGATTTTGGCAGCCCTCTCCTGCCTGACCACACACCTCCCTTGGGGCCCTCTCCATGCCCAGTCCCCTCCTGTCTTTCCCCTCCACTCGGGCACTGGTTTTTTCATCTTGGCGACAATCTTCCTGAAGCCTCTCTGTGCTAGAACCACATTCCCTTGATTTTGCGCCTTCAACTGACCACCCCTTCTCCCTCTCTCACCACGAAACTTCTAGAAAGGGCGGTCCACATTCCTGGATTCCACTGCCTTAACTCCCAGTCTTGAGATAACCTGGTTTCTGCTTCCCTCCTACTGCCAGACTGCTCAGCTCAAGATCACCAGTGAACACCCGACAAACACACCATGACTCCCTTTTCTTCTGACCTAACTTTTCACCAAGTCTGAAACTCCTGGCCGGGCGCGGTGCCTCACGCCTGTAATCCCAGCACTTTGGGAGGCCGAGGCAGGAGGATCACGAGGTCAGGAGATCAAGACCATCCTGGCTAACACGGTGAAACCCCATCTCTACTAAAAATACAAAAAATTAGCCGGGCGTGGTGGCAGGCGCCTGTAGTCCCAGCTACTCATAGTCCCAGCTACTCGGGAGGCTGAGGCAGGAGAATGGCATGAACCTGAGAGGCAGAGCTTGCAGTGAGCCGAGATCACGCCACTGCACCATGCCATTGCACTAGGGCAACAGAGCCCTAGACTCCGTCTCAAAAAAAAAAAAAAAGAAAGAAACTCCCTCTCAATTCTTTGCTGACTCTCCTATGCCTCCGATCAGGCCCTCTCAGCTTCTTCCATCTGCTTATCCTCTCGGATCTTCTCTTTCATGTTGATATCTGAATCAATACTATCTTACGGCATTCTATAACTATCTGTTCCCAGGTGTCAGCTATAATCCATCGGTGATTATTCCAGCACAAATCCACATCCCTAGCCCAGACTTTCCTCTGCTGAGGTTCATATTTATTTGCAACTGTGATTAAACATTGGAATATTCACAGTCTCTTTAAAAGTAAAGTGTCCAAAATGGAGTTCATTATCTTTCCCCCAAGATCTGCTCTTCCTCCACCTTGTATTCCAAGCAGAACCTGCACGTCTCCCCCCGCCAGCCACCTCACTTAGCCACTGCACCCCAACGGACGGAACATTGTGTTGGCCCTGCCTCCCAAATGCGGCCTCAAGTCTGCTCTTGGCATCCCATCACCTCTATTTTAGATCACTAACACTGACCTTCAGGCTCTCCCCTCTGCCCCAGAGCTGCTTCCTACTCCTTTCTTGGTGCTGCCAGAGTGCATCCCCCAAATCCCATCTGAACATATCACCTCCCTGCTCAGATCCCCAGGTCTTGAGGCTGCCTGTAGGATCAATCCAGATTCAGCTTGGCCAAGCCAGCTGCTGGCCTCTACACACCACACTGACTTCTCCATCTTGTCCACATAGTCCAGTCTCATTCAGACACTGCATGGGCAAAGCTATACATTTTGCAACTAAATGTTCGGGTTCTCTGCCATTCTGTGAAACACCCCCATCAGCCAGAGGCAGCCAAGGCTTCTTCATCCTTGCTTTGTGCTAGAAAGAGTTCCAAGGTCCAGACTCACATCTGTGTCCCCAGGAAAGGTGAGTTGGTGCTAACCCTGTGAGGACTGGCAGATGTGTCTTCATGGTGTTAAAGCTGGGTAAAAAGCAAAGCAGCTGTGCAGACCTCCCCCTGCCAGGCAAGCACCCCCCAGAGTCCTTCCTGCCTCTTCCTGCCTGCCTTTGGCCAAAAGCATCTTTCCAGAGAGAATCACCCTTGACAGGCAAAGGCACAGGACTGCCAGGGAAGGAGTTTCTCCCCGCCACACCCAGAACAGAAACCCTGGACCCTCCCCACCTTGCTCCCCAGCAGCATGTAAGGCCTGCAAATGCCCCAGAACCCAGTGCAGCCTGACTCACAAGTCATGGAAGTTGCGCAGGGAGGAGGCTGGGGTGAAGACATCCAGGAGCCCAATGACCTGGGGAAAAAGTCACCTGTGAGGGCTGGACAGATACTACCTTCTCCTTCCACCTCCTCCTGGGCCCTGGCCATGCACAGGGCCATCCACCCTTTCCTAATACACCACCCGCAGCAGGAGGCATGTCTCCAACCTTCTTGGAAGCAGTAAAAAGGGCAGAGGCCTAGAGGAATCCCCTGGATTTGGAGGGAGTTTGCAATAAATCATGACAGAGAGTCAGGCTGAGGAGAAGGGAAGGTGGGGAGAAGAATGAGGTGTGCTCATTACTTTCAAGTCTGGTGTTCAGGGCAAGCAATGCAAACCCACTCTCAACTCACACAGGCAGCAGGAAAGCATAAGGGGAGGGCGGAAGGGAAAAAGGAGGGAACAGGGAAGGAGCTTTCCAGCCAGCAAATGCCCTGCCTCGACCTTGGGTCTCCAGCCACATCCATCCTTGCCTGCCACAGGGCTGGTTCAGAGCCAAGGGCAAGATCACCCTGGCTGGAGGAATAGGGGAGGGGTTTGCTGGAGAAGGATAGGCTTAAAATGTACATAACATTTTGAAATGATTCTTTGAAATGTCTGCCCTCCAATCTAGGTATCCTGCAGCAAAGCCTGCCTGCCAGGCCCTGAGCTGGTCCCCTGGTTTTCCTGGCTGCTTCTATCAGACAAGCCAATCTGATGGTCATGTGTTTAGACCCTGAGCCTCGCTGCCCAGATTGAAACCCCAGCTCTGCTACTGACTAACCATCTAACCTGTGAGACTTGCTCTGCTTTAGTTTCCCTGTCTGTGACACGGGGCAATAGAACTCATATATCATGAGGACCAGACAAGTTAGTGTATGCAGAGCTCTCAGAACACAGGAAGTGCTCAATATGTGTATATTGTTGTTATCAGGGTCACGTGGACACAACACTAACTAGGATTCTAGTCCCAGCTAGCCACAAGTTCTCAGACATGGAACCAATTACAAAGTTCCCCTGTGCCAATTTCCTCTGTAGGATGAGACAGTCTGTACCTCACAAAGTGTGTCCTGCCCAAAATACCCTTTGACCCCTTCCTGGAAAGTGGGCAGGGCAGGTCCCAGTACCCCCTCCTTTCAACAGTGAGGTGAGAGGCACCATCGGGGAGCAGGGAGGAGACTGTCCCGAGCTCTCCACACCGGGAGGCCCCGCCTGCGCCTGCCCCTGACTCCCCAGGGCAGCCCCCGCCCCATTCCCCGGGGCAGCCACCGCCTACGTTCTCATGCTGCATGTGCTTCAGCAGCAGCAACTCCCGGTAGGCGCGCTTGGCGAAGATCTCGGACTGAAAGGGCCGGCTCAGCTTCTTGATGGCCACCTTCTCCCCTGACCGCTTGTCGATGGCCGAGCTGTGGGGCACAGGCAGGTCAGCAGGCGAGGCTCTCCTCCTGGGCCGTATCTCCCAGATCGCCCTGACCCCTCCCACTGGGCAGCTGGGCTGAGAGGGGACGATGCCCACCACCTAGAATATGGGGGAGCCCCGGGACGCAGGGCAGGGAGTGGGAAGTCAGGCAGGAGCTGAGAGAGGGGCACAGCGCCAGGGGTAGCAATCGTCTCATTGCGACGGGATCCACAGCAGGGAAAGAGTCTCACTATCTCTGCAACTTGGCGAGCCACCTCCCCCTCTTGGGGCCTCGGTGTACTCGTCTGTAACAGTGAGGATCTGCCCGATGAACTCCGGGATCTTGCAAGGGCACAGTCCTGGAGAACCAGGCCCAGTCCCAATTCGACCCACAGAGACCGCACTCAGCCACCCGGTGAGAAAAGGGAGATGGCGGCTGAGTGGCCCCGGGGAGGGCGCTGCGCCTTGAGGTCCGCGGTCAAAGTGGCGCTGGCGAGGGGCCAGCCCAGGGCGGGCTGGGAGGAAAGGGGAGCGCACGTCGCCCGCCCCGCCGCCCCCCGCGCCCCCCCCACGCCCCCCAGCGGCCCGGGGATCTCACCACACGGCGCCATAGGCCCCGCTGCCGACGTGCGTCGGGGACACGTAGGTCTTGGGCAGCTCCCAGGCGGTCTTGTTGACGTCCTGCTTGTAGAATCCCTTTTTCCGGATGAGGCTCATCCCGGGCACCCGATGTCGGCGGCCCCGGCGTGGCGGCTGCGTTCGCGGCCCAACGGGCTCCCAGCGCCCCGGCCCCCGCTGCGCCCGCCCCGCGCCGCCCGCTCCTCCCCCGCGCGAGGGCTGGGGCCCCGGCCGCGACGCTCCCACCTGCCGGCTCGCCCAGGTGCGCCGGGGCCGCCACGCCCGGGCCTGCCCAGCCCTGCGCTCCTGCGCTTCCGCCCGGCCCGACGGAGCCCCGGCTGCAGGTGCGGCCCAGGCACGGGGTCGGGACTGCCCTGCGGGACCCCGGTGCCTCCCGACCGAGCGCCGGCCAGCGGTGGGGCTAGTGGGTCCAAGCAGGAGGCCAGAACCGGGAGGCAGCGCTTCCCAGCTCCCTCCAGCCCTGGTCTCCGTAGGAAGAGCTCCTCGAGACTGTGAAGACACAGGAAAGCAAAACAAAACCCCACAACCTCTTAATTATGGAAAATGTCAAACATGCAGGAAAGAAGTGAACAGAGTTAAGCCAGCGCTTCTCACACTCGAGTGTGCTCAGGAATCCCCTGGGCATTTTATTTGATTAAAATACGGATCCTAACTCAGTAGGTCCGGGGTGGAGCCGAGGGTCTGCATTTCTAGCCAGCTCCCAGATCTGAGGCTTCTGGACCACATCTGATAGGAGGTTCAATGAACCCCCGTGACCCCGATTCCTCAGCAACCGCAACTCATAATCAATTTTATTTCATCTACATTCCTCCCCCACCATCGTTTTGAGGCAAAACCCAGGCGTCATATCATTTTATTCATAAATATTTTTGTATCTCTAAAAGGTAAGGATTTTAAAAACTACATATACACAATACTTTTTTTTTTGAGACGGAGTCTTGGTTTGTCGGAGCACAGTGGCCTGATCTTGGTTCACTGCAACCTCCGCCTCCCGGGTTCAAGGAATTCTCTGCCTCCACCTCCCGAGTAGCTAGGATTACAGGTGCCTGCCACCAAGCCTGGCTAATTTTTGTATTTTTAGTAGAGATGGGGTTTCACCATCTTGGCCAGGCTGGTCTTGAACTCCTGACCTCGTGATCCACCCGCCTCAGCCTCCGAAAGTGCTGGGATTACAGGTGTGAGGCACTGCGCCTGGCCCACAATACATTTTTAAACCTAAAATTAACAGCACTAATTCTATAATACCAAATATGCATACAGGTTCAAATGTGCAGAATTTTTGTTTGTTTTTGAGATGGAATCTCACTCTATCACCCAGACTGGAGTGCAGTGGCGCCATCTCAGCTCACTGCAACCTCCGCCTCTGGGGTTCAAGCAATTCTCTTGCCTCAGCCGCCTGAGTAGCTGGGACTACAGGTGCACACCACCACTCATGGCTAATTTGTGCATTTTTAGTAGAGATGAGGTCTCACCATGTTGGCCAGGCAGGTCTTCAATTCCCGACCTCAGGTGATCTGCCCACTTCAGCCTCCCAAAGTGTTTGGATTACAGGCGTGAGCCACTGCACCTGGCCCAAATGTGCAGCTCTGAAGACAGTTTCTGTGGGCTTCCTAAGGCCCTATGAGGACAATGACAAATCGAGGCCCTTGCCACCTGTCTGGTGGCCTGTGCAGCCTGATGGAGATTCTATGCTCAAACCACAAAGACCTCTGAGGAGCAAGGTGGGGAGGTGGGGGAGGACATGGCTGCAAGGGCTCTGGATGCCCAGCCTGACTTGTCCACCCCTCTCTGGCCCAGGCATGGGGCTGCGGAAGGGGCGGGGACCACTTGCTTCACTTTGTGGAAAAGAGAAAAGGTGTACTAAACAAGGAAAGAAACTTGCTAGGGGCTTACAGCAAGCCGGGGGTCCACACTAGGGAGTCTGCAGCCCCCAGACTCTGTGCCCCAAACCCTCCCGGGCAGTCTTGCAGCCTCAGGCACAACTTGGAAGACCATTCTGAGGTGAGGGTGGGGTGCCGGCATCACACAATAACGCCCGCCATTATTTCGGTCAGGCAATCTGTCTTTTCATTTCTGGCACATGGCAATGTATCAGCAAATGTGTGGAGAATGAATGGAGGAGTCAGCCCATTAGATGTAAAAGAGTCATTTAATAAACACTTGTGTTTGCCATGTGCCAGTCATTAAGTGTTTTATATAACTCACTTAATCCTGGTAAGAGGCCTATGAGTCAGTACTATGATTATCCTCATTTTAGAGATGAGAAACCCGAGGTACAGACAGGCTAAGTAATTTGCCCAAGGTAACACCGCTGGTAAGGGCAGAGCCCGGTTCTAGAGTCCCTGCTCTTGGTAGCGAGGCTCTGCAGTGGCCTAGAGTTAAGAGAAATGCTCCTCAAAGGAAATGGCCTTGCCCACATCATAAGGACATGTCTACTGATCCAACCGGGTCTCCCTAGTCCATCCTGCCCTGGGGTATATGATATTTTCCCCAGCCTTTTCCCTCCTCCACCCCCTACTCTGACCCTGAGATCCCATGGGAGCCTAAGGAACGGGGTTGCTTGCCTGGGAGTGCTGCAGGAGTTTTGGACCTTTGGGATCGGTGGCACCAGTGCAAGGTACCTTGATTCCGAAGTTGGGGTGGGGTCCAGGAAGCCAGATTTTAGGCCGGACGCAGGCAAAGGAGAGTAAGCTCAGAGATTCAGGTTTTCTTCTGGTTTGAGGATCCAGTAAGGAAGGGGACTAGGATGTGGCACCAGGTCAGGATGGTGCCGCACGTCTTAAACACCTGAGCGGGGCAGAGTTGGGGAAGGTGGGGATACCAAAGACGTGCTCATGGCCCAAGTGGGTGCGACCTTCTGAGGGCATGAGTGGCCACTCTGGCTGTGGCTCCGGATGCTCTTGAGCAAGGGTCAGGAAGTGACTCAGGCCTCCGACTCTGCTGACACTGACCCCCACTCTGGGACTGACTGGCCCTGTGTTACTCAGCAGCCAGGCAGCCTGGGAGGGAGCCCTTGGAGGATCCAGCTGGGGGAGTCATGAAAGGGATGGGAGGAGGAGAGGGTGACTCAGGTCATCCTCGATACCCTGCCTCTCCAGCCTGAGGCTCTCTTCTTTTGAGTTCCAAGGGCCCTTTGCTCTTCTCCTCCCCAGACAGCAACCCAAGGTTGTCCTGTTGGCTTGTGCCCTATGAGCATGGAGGCAGGGGTTCAGGAAACCAGCTCTGGAATGAGACTTGAATGTACATCCCTTCTCTGTCATTACCTGCTGTGTGACCTTGGGCAAAGTTTGGTCCTCTCTCTGAGCTTCCGTGTCCTCCTTGTGAAATGGGGATAATATTAAAGTGTGACAAGCATATTGAAAGAGCCTTAGAATTGTGTCATTTCAAGTATATTCCTCACAACAACCCAATGAGGTAGGAACTTTCAGTGCCTCCAACCAGAGATCACCAGAAACACACCTGGTGGGGAACAAGCTGAGCTGATGACTCCTTGCAACAAGGGAGAGCATGCACCATGGGGGTCATGGGGCGCCCCAGGAAGGGGCGTTACTGATGTTTGGAGCTGCGTTAGGTGATTGGGAAGGGGTTAAGGAAGCAAGGCTTTGTTCTGGGTTGATGCTGTCAGGAAATTGAGGTAACACTGTGATTGGGAGTCTTAACACATCTTGCCTAGAAGGAAAGCAGACTAGAGCTTTCTAAAGCAGACTAGATAGAGCAAGGCTGAAGCTACAGCTGGTAAACCAGCAGCCTCCACTCAGCTTAGCTCTACAGGGGGATTTGGGTCATTTCTGTGGTTTGACAATATTCATGTTTTATCTGTGTTCAGATATGATTATGGAGTAGTTTCATTTTTGTGTTAGTCTGCCCTGTTCACAGATGGCCTTGTTCAATGCTGATGTCTGTGAAATTGTCTGTGTTCAGCATAGCAAGACCGAATTGCACCAAGCTGGACAGCTCTGAGTAACCAAGTCCTGGCTGACAGGACCAGGCAGCTCCCAGATATCAGGGCTGCTTTGGTCTATTCCAATATAATTATACCCCTGGTACAGATGGGGAGGCTGAGGCCCAGAGAGGTTAAGTAATTTGCCCAAGGTCACACATAACTAAGAAAGTGGTAAATATGATCTTCATATCTGGCATCTGGCTCCTAACTCTGCACATTTAACCACCAACTAGAATGCCTGGTACCCAGCTAGTGCCTGAGAAGTGGCTGCTGTTGTTGCATTGTCTTCCTAGTTAGCCTGTGAGCCTCTGGAGGCAGGCACATGGTGTGGGAATTGATGACTGGTTTCTTAGAGATTGAGACAAAAGCCCCACAAAGCTATGAGGCTGTCATGTCCCGTATCCTGGCCACCTGGACCCCATCTTGCCCCAGGAGCACAGCAGCCACCCTCTCTGCCCCAAATAGCAAGACCAGTATGAACCTCCTTGCCATAATGAGGATGGGCCAGCACAGACATCCTCACCACGAGACCACCACAGAAATGAAAAAGCATGACACATCTGGGGTCCTATGGGGGTAGGACAGGCCAGGGAGCCCTGGAGCTCTGGCCCCAGCTCTAGAGATTCCCATGCTCTTTTGGGGCTGTCAAAACTCCATGAAACAAGCAAAATTCCAAGGAGGCAGGGAGATGCAGAAGAAAGACTGCAGATGTGGGCTGCTCTGTGGGGTGGTAAGCTGTGTGACCTTACACAAGTTACTTAGCTCCTCTAAGCCTCAGTTTTCTCATTTGTAAAACGAGAGTGGGTGATAAGACCCATGTCACAGGGCTGTCATGAAGACTAAAAGAGATGACTAGAAAAGTGTCCAATTCAGTGCCTGGCACACAGTAGGTTTCTCACCAGAGGCTCCTTCCCCAGTGGACTGTGTCAGCTCTGCCCGGGTACTCCAGCTGCCCAACCCCAGCTCCTGCCCTTTGGCTGTCCAGTCCCTGCCCCAGAAATGGTCCCCTCGGTGAGAGTCGGCTCCAACTCACATCCAACTCCTCTATTAAGTTTTTTGCCAGATACTCAGCCCAAGGATTCATTGACCCATTCGTTCAACATTTATTTGTTGGCTGGGCGTGGTAGCGCATGGCTGTAATCCCAGCACTTTGGGAGGCTGGGGCAGGAGGATCACTTGAGAACAGGAGTTTGAGACCAGCCTGGACAACATGGTGAAACCTCGTTTCTACTACTACTACTACTAATAAAAATTGGCCAAGTATGGTGGCACATGCCTGTGGTCCCAGCTACTTGGGAGGCTGGGGTGGGAGGATTGCTTGAGCCTGGGAGGTTAAGGCTACAGTGAGCTGTACCCCAGCCTGGGCAACAGAGGGAGACCTTGTCTCAATAAACAAATGATTTAAAATGCTGGTATTTAATACTTTCATATGGGTCAACTAAATGTAATGGCAGGTGGTATTAAGTGCAATGAAGAAAATAAGGCAGAGTAAGGATCTAAAAGACTAGTGAGTACTGTTTGATCAGGGAAGGTCTGTCTGCAGAGGCAACATTTGAGCAACCATTGAATGGGTCTGGGAGTAAGCCCAGTGGACATCTGGGGAAAGAGCAAGTGTCTGCCTTCCAAACCGCTCAGAGGACACTTGACCCTGTAGACCAGGCACCCAGCCTCATTC